GTGCCATGTAGCATTTCTATTCATTTGTCTTTCAGGTCTGTCACTGGCGGTGTCCGCCCTTTTCCGCTGGGCATGCAGCATTTCTGTTCATTTGTTTCCCGGGTCTGTCACTGGTGCTGCCGCCCCTTTCTGCTGTTTCTATTCATTTGTCTCCCATGTCTGTCACTGCTAATTTCCGCCCTTTTCCGCTGGCCATGCAGCATTTCTATTCATTTGTCCCCCAGGCTTGTCACTGGTGGTGTCCGCCCTTTTCCGCTGTTTCTATTCATTTGTCTCCCAGGTCTGTCACTGCTGGTGTCCGCCCTTTTCGTCGGCCACGCAGCATTTCTATTCATTAGTCTCCCAGGTCTGTCACTGTTGGTGCCCGCCCTTTTCCGCTGGCGATGCACCATTTCTATTCATTTGTTTTCCAGGTCTGTCACTGCTGGTGTCCGCCCTTTTCCGCTGGGCATGCAGCATTTCTATTCATTTGTTTCCCGGGTCTTTCACTGGTGCTGCCGCCCTTTTCCGCTGGCCATATAGCATTTCTATTCATTTGTCTCCCATGTGATTTCTTTCTTTTTGTCTTTCAGGTTTGGTGCCTGCACTGCTGTTTTCTGCCCTGTCCGCTGGAACAGGTTCGCCTGTGAAAGGTTCTTGCTCCTTTGCAAGGGGTGCGTGACTGTCCCGGGATTGCATTCCTGCCACACTGTGTAACTCTCTCAGCTTTGTTTTCCTTTTCGGGCAACCGTTGGATGAATGACCGGATTGGATTTCGGCCGCGTGGCAGCGATCTCTCTGTTCAGTTGGGGCGGAGGGCGTACGTTAGGCGCCAAAAATCAATTTCATGTCACATCCTTCGCTCCTCATGCTTTTGTTTCTTGTCTTCACGTGGTCAGCTCCCTGCTGACTGAGCAGCATGACCAGCGTCATGTTCGCGCTTGAAGAATAATTCCCCAAAAGGTTTACTGTTAGGGCTTCTCACTTCTTTTTTAAGATGTGTCCGCCCGCTCTGTACTGCTGTGTCCGTCTCTGCCTTGCAATCCTTTACATTTGTCTCCCAGCTCTGGACGTCGCAAGCTCTAGTTTCGATTTTGAAAAACACAAACTGTTTGGGGTCTACGGTGGTGTAATTCCTATTTGTCCTGCCAGGGGGCATTAATCAGTCAGTTGAAAGTTTGAAGTCAAAAACTAGGCCGACAGACAAGGTGATTGCTGGGGAAACTCAATCAGATCAATCAAAGAATGACAAAGCTGAGGATCAGTTGCTTGCTGCTGCGGACCCAATCCCGTTGCGACGCGAAGGAACTCTTCACAGCTGCCGCCGACGGCTCGATTGCTGCATGGAAAGTGGTGGAATTGGAGCAACCCAGGACGGCAGAAACATTGTGATGGAGCTTCAAGTATGCTCTTCCCCACCTGAGATTGATGACCCATTCTCATCGTTTTAAACTGCCTGCATTCAAAACTATTCGAAAGCCATCCACCAAACTGGCCCAGTACTGCCCAGCACTGCGACACCCTTCGTTTTCGGCAAATCAGACGGGGATATCCTGAATGATCCTTTCAAGGAATACAGGAAGACCTTGAACACTGAGGATTGAAACCTATAAGAGGTTCAAAGACGAGAGTGTTTCTGAGGGTTTGTTCGTCACTAAGGCTTATCAAGCAACCGCCTTACAACTTGAGAACACAACACGCGATTTCGTGCCGTACCGGTACATGGTGCCGGTGCAGGTCCAGGTGGTTCGAGCAGAAACCTCGCGCCCATGCGATTTTGGTTGCACAACTCATTGCTTTCCCGCTCCGTTGGCCCTGAGTTCGCTTGAAAGCGCATGTTGGCTTTCCTCGCGACGGCCGGACTTTGCGCACGCATGGAGCTGGGTCAGTTTTGTAAAGATCCAACTGCCCCAAGCTGAGGTGAGCGAATGGAGAAAACGTGACAAGCACAAATCAAACTTGTAGCATCTGCAACATCGCTTGCACGATGATGGTTGCAACTGCAAAAGCATGTGCAAATGCCATACCCCTGAAATCAACCCAATTTTGAATCGCAACAATATAGCTCGGCCATGGCTTCCTCCAACAGAACTCAGAGTTAAAATCTCATGTTCCTTTTCCAAACATGTGACGCCCATCCGGCCTTGATCCTACAGATAAGCTCAAGTAAGGCAAGAGGATTTTGTTTCTTTCCAGGCGGCCGTTGGTCAAAGCCAGCAATAATACAAACTGAATCAAATAAATATATGCCAGCCCTCCGACCCCACCATTTGCTTTTTTGTGATACCACGCATGAGCATTCCGGAAAGGAGAGTGCAACAGTCTTCTGTGAAGATCGAGCCGATTTGGTACAGTTCATCCCATTCATGCGAAGATTCGAAGCTCCGGTGCCATGGTGCAGATTTTCAAGGCTCGCGAGGCTTATCTCGTCTGCAAAGGTCTGTGCTTGCTCAACATGGCGGGCAGAACTTGGATGAGCTTCGCTGGCTCACGATTCCACGCAGTGGTCAACACATGAGTGGGCTCCAGGTCAAAGCGGTTGAGCATGATGGCGACCCCTTACCTTTGGTTAAATAGGTGTTTTTTCCTTTGGGGGAGGTTGTCTCCAAGTCACTTTACAACACGGATCGCAACATGAATTCTCGACTGCATCCGTTCTCCATACGACTCATTACATCTGCTGTTTTTTCCTCCGATCACAGGTGGTTTGAGCATTTTTGACCCAAGCATGAATCTGAGGAGACTTGTTTGGAGGTGGTGGGCTTCGCTTCGAGCGGTACAATCATCGAATTTAACATGACTGCGTTGACCGACGACCGAGTGAGACAAGGGGATATCGTCAAGGTGGTGAATGGATCCTCGAGTGGAACACTTTAAAGAGCTAAGCTTTTATTCGCCAGTTGTCTATATATATATATAAATAGTAGTAATTGTTGTTAATGGTTATTATTATTATTACTATTCTATTACTACAATTGTTATTGACTGCCTTTTTGATTGGTGGTTGATGAATTGATTTCCTTCTAACCTCCTATATTTGTTTGAATGCATTGATTGGGCCGAATAAAACTGAACCTTCAGAGTGTTTCCTTTAGTCATTCCGAGGAAAGACAGGCTTTGACGCGGTACACTTCTTGAACAGCCTCTACGACATCAACGAGCGGAAATGTCCAAATTTGAAGATGCAGCTCCTGAGGTTTATTGCTCCCAAGAAGCCAAAACTGAAGATCGATCCCCCCAGCTGCTGCACCGAAGTGAGACCCCTACTACAAGATTTGGTAGGTTCATTGACCACGTTTGGTCGGAAGCTCGTCCAATTTCGAGGTGCCGGTGCTGCACCATCGGATCCATTTTGGGATATTCCTCGAACACCAGTGGCGAGCCACCAAGAGTTCAACCTCTCTGAAACCTCGAAAAGCATCCTCGGCACCATTCTGAAGTGCAGCGTATTGGGAATGCCCTTGCTGATTGAAGGAGAGGCATCCGCAGGTAAGACAGTAGCTGTGGAGTATGCCGCACACATCATGCAAAAGGAGCTGTTGAAGTTTCCAGTCTCTCCCAGCACCTCGATTGATGACATCATTGGAAGCGTCTCCTTCTCGGAAGGTCTCTTGGCTGCTTTTCCTGAACACGACCTGGCCAAACACATCAGACGAAGCACGACCTGGGCAATCGTTGAGCAAGAACTTCCTTCACCTATGCAATCCTATGCATAGTGACCAGCCCCAAGCATGAAAGAGAAATCAGGCGGCCACCGGCTAGAAGAGATATTCGGGGAAAAGCATAGGCAAGCAATGAATTCTGCTCAGCGTTCCAAGGTACTGGAACTATGCAGTTCAAGCCAGGAGTCCTCCCACAAGCCATGTCAAGAGGCTATTGGCTTCTTCTTGATGAGGCCAACTTGGCGCCACCCTCAGTGCTAAGCGTCCTGGAGGAAGTCTTCAACACGGGCCAGTCTCTCGGCGAAGTGCAGGGGTTTCTGTATCGTACGAGAAATGACATCGCGGTTTTTGCCACCTGAGGCTAGAAATCCCAGCGAATCTTGTGAGCGCCGACGCAAGGCTCAAGCATCAGATCAATGCCAGAGGACAGGGACGTGTTTCTGCTGTTGTTAAGGTCGAAGTCAAAAAGGTCTTCTTCCCAATGTTCTTCCACTGAGAAGCTCCGGACGTTGTCGCCCAAAGGAACTTTGGTGGTGACCAAACATCCAGCGTTCTGTATTTTTGCGACACAAAACCCACCGAGAGCATCTCAGTATCGTGCAACAAGGCCGGTGAGCTTGGAAACGGCAACAAGAAACGTCTTTGGCAGGATCAGAGCAAGTTTTCTTTTTTGCAGAAGAATTAATAGTAACTATATAGTTGTAACTCATTTCCAGCCTATACAGCACGAGCTTGGCCAACTCACTGCGAGCTTGTTTTTGTGAGGGTCAGGGTTTTGCGTTCTTTTCTTTCTTTGGTGTGAGTGTGATGACTGTCACTCCAGCCATGATTCGATGACACCAAAACTCTATCATGAAAGAGAGGCGCTGATCACCAGCAATGTCCCATTAGAACCACACGTCGGCCCCTTCACATGGGTTCGACAGCGACTGGCGGAATTGGCGTATTGCAGGGTAAACTGGTACTGTTAAGCATGCCCAAAACGAGTCAGGTCCAACAACTTGAAGAAACGTGCACATCTGCTTGACAACCGTGAGAATAGCTTCTGTTCATGTTGCCCGTGTGGAGCTTACATTGTTGCTTTGTTTGCGTAAGATTACGCTGCTTTGCTTCGGTGAAAACATGTCTGGCAAGTTATGGACGGGTCACTTCGATTCGGGTTGAGCGCCCAGCTCAGTGGAAGGGGCCAGAGCGCCTAACATCAGGAGTCAATTCAGCTGAGGTATCTTTTCGACGGATCGTGTCAACTGCAGGGACCACACACACACGCAGGGACCAGCGCATGCCAACGCGACGTGCCGTCGGGGACATGCGGGCACATGACAGTGACGCGGCAGCCTTGCCGGTGCAGGTGTTTCTAAGTGCCTTCAGCATCCTTCGGGAGACCACCTCTGCCATGCGGCAAGCGCATGTCAACGAACGTACACCGTGGTACACAGTGGTGTGGTTCCTGTCTGACCATGGTACTTGTACGGCAGCGGTCCACCATTTACCCATAGTACCAGTGGTCTTTCCCAAATTGTCTCGCCACAGCATGTTTCACCCGCAAAATGATAAACCGTTTCCCGAAATCATTGCACCCCTTTCTGCGGCCATTTTGAGAGCTGTTGGCAGGCATGAGCTGGGAGAAGGATTGCTCTCGCATTTTGTATGCACCGTACTGAAGCTGACTTGATGAGATGGTAAGCTTTTCTCATTCTTTTTTTTCGATGCGGCAGCATGTTTTCCTTAGCTAGGCCATTGGGCCATTGGGCCATTGATTGGATCACATCCCAGGACAGTTCCAACTGATGTGGAGATGGAGGCCATTGTGTCCCGACGGTTGTCCCTCCGGACGCTGCCCCCGACGAGCCAGCGAAAGCCCGCCAAAGGCCGTGTGAAGCTGTTGAAGATGGACAGATCTTGGCTGGAAGGATGCTCAGAACCGATGAGGTCACCAGGTTTTGGTATTGATTTCTAGCGTTGAGGATCGGGTGCGTGCAAACCTTGGTTTAGACTGTCTTGAGTTGCTGCTGGGTATAAGTGGATAAATGGTCGCCATGTTCACCGGCCTTTCATGTTCGAGGATGGGAAGCAAGTTGGAACCATCGATATGACGCTGGTGGAGCCAAATGCCGGCAGCTCCTTTGCTCAAAGCTGTTGCTCGAGAAGGCCAAGATCTTGATTGGAACTTCCTTTGACGAGCTGGAGAAACTTGAGAAGGAAGATCCTTGACTATATTGGCGTGGAGGTGGTGGATTTAGGACTTCCTTTCCCATTTCACGTTGCTGGGGTTGTTGACTTGGCCGCGACAGAAGGTGGATAATTGAAGTTCGCTTCCACGAGGTTCATGTCGCGCAAAGGTCGCATGCAGCACGAGGGATGGTATATAATGAAGCTAAGAATCTACACAAGTCAAAGTGAACGTGTTCAGCAAAGCGAGCATCAACAGAAGCTGCCTTGGAGTGCTGATGTGGTCCGGAGTTGGGTCTGGCAGTGGAGTGGTTCAGAGGTACTTTGCGTAAAGAAATGCCTTTATAAATGAAGAATCGTGCTTGCTCCAAGGGTGATGTCAGAGTGTCTCCAACCGCTGCCGTTTTTCACCTTAAGGCCTAAGCCATAACTCGTTGCTACGCATCGCAGTTGAAAGGACACCTTGCGGCTTTGTGTCTGCAGTGGTATCCGGAGCCTGCGTGGGTCTTGGCGCGCTCCGCTGTCGCTTGTTGCCTTTGGTTGCTTCATTGGTACGTTGTGCATTGCGTCTTTGCCTTTGACTCCCTGCATTGGTTGAGCTTTGTTCGTTGAGTGTTGTTGGAAGAGTTGCACTCGAGCCCATCGACCTTCGAACATTGGAATTCATTGGTGGCTGTTGTTCAGTGGTGTTCAGCTAAGCTTGCATTGCATTGAGCTTCACCCGCCTTCCGGCTTGTTTCTACAGAGTTTTCACCTTTTGTTGCACGCCTCCCGTGCTGTGGGAGGATCATGGCAGAGAGCGATGATAAAGGCAGTTCTGCTTGGTACAAGGTGCCAGTGTGGGATGGCAATCCATCCACCTTCAGGGCCTTCAAGAGAGAGATGGAATGGTGGCAGGCGTCGATGGATGCCTCTAGTTGTTCGAAATACAACGTTGCTGCCCGCTGGACACTTAGACAGACAGGTGTTGTAAGAGCCCGCTGTGAAGAGTTCAGTCCAAAAGAACTTGAAGGTGGCCTTGAAGTTAAGGGGATTGACCCAGAGACCGGTGAGGAGGTCATCATGGAGCAGGCAGATCCTTGGCGAGGGATTCGAATTCTGATGCAAGCATTGGAAGAATCCATGGGTCGTACATTGCTGGATCGCAAAGGCGAGTTGAGGAAGCAATTTTACATGGAGATGAGACGTGCCCCTGGCGAGAGGATCAGTGCCTATTGTTCGAGGTTCAGGACTTTGACCTCGGAGATGAAGCGTGAAGGGATCAATCTCCCGTCGGATGAGTTGGGTTGGTTTCTGCGCAATCGCATGGGCCTCGATGCAATCCGCATCCAGCTGCTCGATACAGCCCTTCGTGGGAAGGAAGCCTACGAGGAAGTTGAGTCAGAAGCATTGCGTTTGTTTAGAGATTTGCACAGTGAGGACCCCTTGCAGAAGAAGCAGAGCCTTCATGACAGGTCACCCCTTCTTGGTCGATTTTTGAACCAGTCGCAATCCGGTTCGTCGTACAAGACGTCGTTGCCTAGCAGTGGAGGTTCATCATCTTTTGGGACACGGTCGTACAAGTCATCTTTTTCAGGTGGTTCACAGTCCCAGAGGAGCTTCAAGTCGACCCCGAAACCCCCACCGAGGAGTGCGTTGGTTGCTGAGGCCCCGCCAGAGGTTGAACCTGAAGGTGATGATGAAGAAGAGGAGTTAGTTCCTGATGCCCGGGACCCCGGCATTTCTCTGGAGCAGGTGCTTCAAGGCGAGGCTGAAGTGCTGGCTGCTGAGATTGAAGAGCTAGAGCAAGATGGTTTGGCTCCAGACTTGATCGAAAGCCTGGAAACGGGAGTTGAGCAAGCTGCCGAGTCATTAGTGACCATGAGGGAAGCCAGAAGCAAGATAGCCGAGATCAAGAAGGACCGTGGCTATGGCAAAGTGGCTTCAAGCAGCGCGGCACCCAAAGCTCGGATGACTGGCAATCAGGTGAACGGCAAGAAGTCTCGTTCAAGTTGCTGGGATTGTGGCCAGACCGGCCATTGGGCTGGTGACCATGGATGCCCGAGTCCAGGTGCTGGTTTGTTCAAGCCAAAGGGCAATTGCAAGCCCCAACAACGTCAAGTTCGCATGGCAGAAGCATTGACCACAGAGGTCGAAGCACAGCCGGAGCAGTCAGAGGAGGTTCACGAAGTGATGACAACTTCGCGGCTGTTCCATCCGTCGACATTGACAGATGCTCTCAACAATTCGTTTGAGGTTTGTGCCAGTCAGGTGCACTCATTGTCGCTGGACAAAAAGCTCATGGGCGCACTCGACAGCGCATGCAATCGCACGTGTTGTGGCACAGTTTGGTTGGAGCATTATTTACAAGCATTGCAGTCTGCGCCTCAGGCCATCAAAGAGCTGGTGGAGCACCGAGCAGAGCAGGAGGTGTTCCGATTCGGAGATGGTGGCACTCAGCGCAGTTCTGTGAGAGTTCGGTTGCCCATGGTCATTGGAACAGATCTCATTCTCACTTGGGTTTCGGTTGTTCCTGTTGCAAGTTTGGGCCTTTTGCTTGGAAGGGATTGGTTAGACAGCATTGGTTGCGTTTTGAGCTTTGCAAAGAAGATGTTGCGAGCTGATCATCTTAGCGGACGTCTCATTCATCTTCATCAGTTGACTGCAGGACATTTTGCACTGCGGCTGGTGCCATCTACGTGGCCATCCCCAGGTGCGCTTCGATGGCGTCGAGTGGGATTGGATGGTGTTGTTGCATTGCAGCTCAGTCACCAAGAATGGATGAAACGCAAACTTGACGCTTTGAGTCAGTTTTCACTTCGTTCGAAGCATAGTCATGAGCATTTGCTTTCAGAACACAGTCTACATGCTGCAGATGTTTCGTTGATCGGCCTGCCAACCCAGAGTTCGACTTCGTTGGACGACTTGGCTCAAAAGATGAGCACCTTTCAAGGTTCATCCCCCGATCCGACGACATCCCCTACGACATCACCTGGTCGAGGCCCTACTCCCAGGAAGAGCTATGGAAAGCACAACAAGCACGTTGACAAGGTGGAACCGTCTCGTGGTCCGCCTTCAAGCTCGAATCCTTTGGCATGTGCAAGGCGTTGCCTTGTGGCTTTGTCGACGGCCATCCTTGCGCTATCTTCCATTTCCCTACCCATCAATCAGCTCAGTGCACCAGTGGAAGTTGCAAGCTCAGCAAATGGTCGGAAATGGCTCAATGTCAAAGAAGCACCACCAGAGGGCTTTGGATTCAGATGGTTTCTCCGTTGCCAACCTGAAGGAAAGCATGTGGCTTCGCGACAGGCTTGGTTGGAAGACATCGTTTGTCGAAGATCCAATGCTGCAAGGCATGATGGCAGCTCGAAGTGGCAAGGGTTTGGCAAGTCGCATTCGGCAGGAAGCAATGGCCGAAGCGAAAGCCTCAGCAGAGAAGGCAAAGAAGGAAGGAAAGCAGTTCGAGGCCGTGAGAGCTTTGATAGACACCTCCATTGGCAGCGCCCGAAACACCGTCCACCAGTGCTCCAAGCACGATGCCAGGAGTGAAACTCCAAGACATTCACGAGCTGCTAGCACAGCAGGACCAAAAGTACCAGGCCATGTTGAGCCAGGTTATGCAACACATGATGTCCATGCAACAGCAGCCGTTGTTGACGGCAGGTCCCATGCAGTTCGACCTGACATCTATGGACGTGCCAATGGAGCAGGGCTCAAACAGCCAGAGCAGTTTCTCCGTGGGGAACCATGGCTGGACTCAAGCAGAGGTGGACGATCAGCTGCAGGACTTCTCCCAGATGACCAGTCAGGAGTTGAGCGATTTCAACTTTCAGGAGCTGGCGTTGAGAAAGGGGGACGAAGAGGACCTGCTCAAGGGTCCATTCTACAACTGACCAACCCCTGGCATGTGCACCAGGAGTTGAAACCTGGTCAGGCCCAGCTGATCAGCCAGGCATGGGAGAAGCATTGCAGGGATCGAACACTGACCTCCAGGTCCCGGAAGGAAGTCTTGGAGGCCATGCAGGAAGATTGGGACAAGCAGATGGCTGGTTGTTTCAAAGAGCGCTTCATCATGAAGATTGACATTGTACCGCCTGAGGGAGGAACAGTGCGCCCAACAGCTGGTGCGGTGGCTCAAGCCCAGCGGCCTGTTCCATCCCGAAAGAAGAAGAAAGATGAGATGAAGCGGCTCTTGGTGGGCGAAGTATACACCGCAACGGAACAAGTCGCCAAGCAGGCTTCGCTCCGAGGCCATAGTACAGCCACGTCCATGTCCCTTGAATCAGGATGGAATTTCCTAGATGCAGCTCACCGAAAAGCATGCATCAAGAAGGTGCTCGAAGAAGATCCGTTTTGTTTGATTTTAGCCTTTCCGTGTGGCCCTTTTTCTCCACTCAATCGTTTGCGCCCCAGTGCTTCTTTGAAAGAGCGAAGAGAACAAGGCAAAGTGTTGATGAATTTTGCAATCCTTTTGGCACGCCTTCAGCTCAAGAGAAACAGTCATTTCATTATGGAAAACCCAAGAGGCTCAGAAGCCTGGTTGCTCCCAGAGATGATGCAGTTTTTGGAGTCGGCGCCAGTCGAGTGTGTTGACATCGATCAATGTGCCTTTTTCTTGAGGAGCGTTGAGGGCCACCTTCATAAGAAGCCCACCAGGATAGCGACAAGCTCTTCTGCAGTGGCTGATGAGTTGAGAGGAAAACAGTGTTCAAAAGATCATGCACACCAGCCTGTTTTGGGTGGAAAGAAGATCACCTCCAGGGCAGGCCACTATCCCGTCTCGTTGGCGAGGGCTTTTGTCAAAGGCCTTGAACGCCAGTTTCACGCTGACTATGCCGCCTGCCGTGAAGTCATGGCGGTAGATGGCGAAGAAGTGGAAGAGACGAAAGAACAAGGAGATACCATGGACCCCTTTGCTTCAGAGTCCGACATCTCGTCCATGGGAGAGGACATGGAGCCAGAGTCCAAGATTTCAGCGGCCACCCGATTGGCCGTGAAGCGATTGCATGAGAACACCGGCCACCGGTCAAACAGAAGACTGGCAAGAGCATTGGTCTTGTCAGGGGCACCTGCTGATGTTGTGAGAGCTGCGAAGGAGATCAAATGTAGCCTGTGCGATGAGAAGAAACGACCGAAGCCTCGACGACCTAGTAGTCTTCCCACTCCCAAGGATGTCTCCGACCAGATTCACATTGACATCTTTGAGGCCACAGACATCAGAGAGACAAAGTACTACGTGGTTCACGTGATAGACTGGACCTCAAGATTTCAAATGGCAGAAGCCTTGGAGACCAAAGACTCCGAAAGCATTTGCAGTTGGTTCAAGCAGCGTTGGCTTGCCGATCTTCGGTCCACCAAGAGTCCTGGTCGCGGATCAGGGCCGTGAATTCGTGTCGTGGGCATTTCAGCAGATGTGTGATGAGCACTCCATCTTACTTCACCACGTGCCCGTTCAGGCCCCATGGGCCAATGGCGTCTGTGAAAGAGGAGGTGGAATCTTAAAAGGCCTGCTGGAGTGTTGTGTGAAGAGCCATTCAGTGCAAGGCTTGGGAGAAATGAACACCGCCCTCCAAGAGTGTGTCCTGGCGTACAACAGTGACATCAATGAGGCGGGAGTGTCACCATGTCAAGCTGCCATCGGAAGACAGCCCCGTATGATGGGCGACGTGCTTGGTAACTTCAGCCAAAGGCTTGCCGAACATGGTCTAGTTGATGGCAACCCTAGCCTGGCACGACAGGTCGCAATGAGGGAGACGGCCAAATTGGCCATGGTTCGTCTTCACTTCTCCCGAGGCATCAGGAGAGCAGAGTTGAGTCGTTGTCGAACCTCTACCATGTCAACTCCGCTGCAGCCAGGTGACATAGTTTACTTCTGGCGTGAGAGCAAGTACAACTCAAAGACAAGTCCGTCGAAGAAGCGACTATCCTTGCGGCGCTGGCATGGTCCAGCCCTTCTGTTGGCCTTGGAGGGACACAGTGCAGGCTATGTTTCTTTCAAAGGACAGATGTCCAAGTGTGCTCGCGAACACCTTCGCCTTGCTTCAAGCATGGAGCAAATCAGCGCTGAGACCTGGCATGATGCTATCCAAGAGTGTGTGGAGGCCGCGTTGCATGATGTCAGGAGACCGGCAACTGAGGATATCTCAGGTGCGGATATGGCTTCTTCATTGACCCCTTCGATGGTGCCACCAACACCGTCGAGATTGAGAACTACAAGTTCACTACCTCCAGTGCCCGAAGAGCCGGTGGAAGCCTTACCGCCGGTAAGACCGGAAGAGTTTCTTCAAGCTCTTGACAGCCTACCAGAGCTGCCAGGGAGCGGAAGTTTGAGCAGAAGGGCATCAACCATGTCGTCATCCCGACAGGCTTCAAAAGCGTCAGGCAGTGCAGCGCCTGGCACTCCAGTTCCTGCTTTGATTCGTGAGGCAAGTCAGGCACCTGGCACACCTCCTGTGAGTTCAAGGTTGGAAGCATCCATGGAGACGGCAAGGGAGTTGGAGGAGGAACAAACTTCTCGAAAGAGAGCTGCCGAAATTGAGGCTGAAGCGCTCCGAGAGAGTGAACAAGTTTCATCAGCTGAAGGGCATTCCGTCCTCATGACCACAGCGATGGTTCAAGAGATCTTCAAGACAAAGAAGCCCCTCATGAACAAGTATGCCAAGGAGCATGCCAATGACATCGCCCCAACAAATGCCTCAGTGATTGGGAATGAGCCCTCGTTCGAAGAGACCTTTTTGAAGTCTGAGAAACATCCACTCCGGCTCATCCAAGAACAAGCGGAAAAAGACAAGCTGGATCCAGCCAATAGTGAAGTACAAGATCACGGAAGTTGGTCGGGTCGTTGGCCTTTGCCCTCCAGAACTAGTTGGCAAGCTCATGAACTTTGTTGCTGCCTATGGCCCGTTGGCGAACATGAAGTCAATGCCGCCAAGACAGCTCGCAGAGAGGTCAAGTGGAAGAGCATTCCGGACCATGAGAAGCCGGAGTACAAGAAGGCAGCCGAGGTGGGCTGGAAAGTTCAGACAGACAACTTAGCCTTTGAGCCCCTTTCTGAGGAAGAGTCCATGCGTGTCAGGAACCGTCTTCGTGATGCTGGACAGTTGAACAAGATTTTACATCCCAGGTTCATCTACACCGACAAGAACGATGGACAGCGCTCTGAGTCACGACCCTTGCCCTTGCTGGCTAACGCTCGGTTGGTGATTCCGGGGTATCAAGATGAGACTGCATACTCCGTCCGGAAGGACGCACCTACATGTGCCCGAAGCTCGCAGCATGTGCTCTTCATCACTGCCGCCAGCTATGGTTGGAAGATGTGGTCAGCAGACATTAAATCTGCATTCTTGAAGGGTGAGTTGTTTGAAGAAGGTGAAAGAGAGCTTTACATCACCAACATCAGAACCACGTCTGATGATGAGCCCATCCTTCCTTTTGGGCGCAATGCTCTTGCAAAAGTGCGGAAAGGAGTTTTCGGTTTGGCCGATTCACCACGTCGGTGGTATTTGAGGCTCCACAAGTCTGTGACGCGGCTTGGATGGGTCAGAAGCAACGTTGATGCTGCGCAATGGTTCTTTTATGATAAGGCCGGCTCGCTGCAAGGGATGATGGTATCCCACGTTGATGACCTGTTATTTGCTGGAACGAGCGTGGCAAAGCAGACATTGGACGCACTGGGACAGGAGTTGGGTTTCGGCTCTCTTGACACTGGATGCTTCAACTATTGTGGCAAACAGGTGAAGCAGTTGGATGATGGTTCCATTGAGGTGAGCATGCAAGCTTACCATGAGAACATTCAAGCTGTTACAGTGCCTGTGATCCGCAAGAAGAATCTGGACAGTCCACTGACCCCCACAGAGCTTCGACAACTACGAGCTGTGTTGGGAAGCCTTCAGTGGCTGGTCACGCAGGTGAGGTTCGACATGAGCTACCACCTTTCAGTGCTCCAGGGTGAACCGCATGTGGTTCGCACACTGCTCAAAGCTAACGCCCTTGTCCGCCTCGTCAAGAAGGACTCGGGGTTCAAGCTGAGGTTCTCCAAGATGGACCTTGAAGGTGCAGGCATCTTGGTGGTGACTGACGCCTCACTCGGCAATGTCACAAGAACAGGTGGCAGTGAAGGCACTGTTCAGACCAAAGTGTTCAGCCAAGCAGCCTATGTGGTCCTCGTTGCTGACAAGGAGCTTCTCGCTGGCAGGGAGGGACGCTTTTGCGTCTTGGACGCGAGGAGCCACAGGCTCACCCGCGTGTGTCGCAGCACGTATGGTGCCGAGCTTTTGGGCGCCGAAGAGTCGATGGATGTTGGGCTCTACAGCCGTGGGTTGCTAGCCGAAGTCAAAGGCTACAATGTGCTTCAGCGAGATGAGGCATACAATGCCGAGATTCCTTTGGCACTAGTCACTGACGCCAAGGATGTTTTTGACAAGAGCTCAAGTGATACACCCACGTATGGATCCCAGAAATCCCTGGCCTTTACGGTCAGTTGGCTCCGAGAAACGCTTCGCAAACCTGGAACAGCCATTCACTGGACGGCTACTGAAAATATGATCATAGACTGTGGCACGAAGGACATGGCCGTTGATCATTTCAGGTCAGTGATTAACAAAAGCGTCTGGAGCTACACGTTCCAGCCAGAGTTTGTGAAACAGAGCGCCAAGAAGAAGGTGGTTTCGGTGTCTCGCCCCAGTGTCGCCTTGCCTGGACGACCGTTGAGCCCTGGCGATCCAATCGCCAACCACCTGATGGTTCTGGCTGAGCAGCCAGGATGGCACCAGAAGGAGTCCATAGGGATTCACGTGTGTAGGAATGCAAGGTCATTCCGACAAGCCTCTCCGAGATTCGATCCCAAGATCTTTCAGCTCCGAAGCACTTATGCTCGCTTCGATTCAGACATGCAAGGGGAATGGAGAATCTTGGAGGAGCGACAAAGAGATGGAAAGCCGTCACTGATCGGCGACATCGCAAGTGTGTTGGTGACATTCTTCATAAAGCCCGGAGTTGAAAGCCCCCTGACACCACCTCTTTCGCAACAAGAGAAGGGATGTACTGAAGAATCGTGCTTGCTCCAAGGGTGATGTCAGAGTGTCTCCAACCGCTGCCGTTTTTCACCTTAAGGCCTAAGCCATAACTCGTTGCTACGCATCGCAGTTGAAAGGACACCTTGCGGCTTTGTGTCTGCAATAAATGTATCACATTGCAAAGCGAATGCATTTCGTTTTTGTCCCAATCTTGGGCTGATCATTTTGTCATGCGTCTTGAAACTGCATGCATTGACGCTGGTATACAGCAACGAAACCGTGCCTTTCAAGCATGGAAATCAGTCCCAGCACGCTTTTGGCTGGAGAACATACCCCCCAAACTTGGCTGATCGTCGGGTGGAACACGATCCTGCCGGCCTCGGCAACTCCCCATCAAGACAGCGAGCAGAAAGCAGCTCGACTTTTCACCCAGGTGACCAAGGTATCAGGCTGCAAGGCAGCAAGGGTGCAAGAGGTGCCTTTTTCTCCCGTGAGGGCGTCTTAATGTCAGCGGTGCACAGCAGGGTATGTGCACACCAGAGGTCGAACCTTCCAAAGAACGCGAACGCATTCTGCAAAAAGTCCACCGCTGTTCCAAAAGACGTGGGGGTCTGAATTGAACATGGATTATTGGTATGTCGATGATGTATTTCTTTAGGGCATTTCTTTTTTGTAAACTCCTTTGTTAGACAATTTGCAAAACACGACGATCACGGCAGAGGTTTGGACTTGTTCGACGCCGCATATGTGGAAGTGTAGGGAACGGTGAGGTTGCAGTTTTTAGAGCCTGTTGCAACCCCAGATCGTCTCAGCTTCCCAAGGATTGGTTGGCATTGAAGCTTCCCCTGAAAAACGTCGAGGCTGACAAGGGCAAGGAGGATGAGAGCGGCGAGCAACATAAAAGCTGCGCAATGGTGCAGATTCTCAAGCATCGTCCAAAGCAGGAAAGGGAAGTGATGATGATTGTCAAGGTGGAGAGCGACAACACCAGTTTCACCGGATCCTCACTTTTACATCGTGCAGATCACCTCATCAACACTGCACAAGTCTTAGGCAGGAAACACCAGAAACGAATCATCATCTCCAGAATCGGAAGACACTTCCAATCAGCAAGCGGAATGTGTTCCAATCAGCTTCGCAACTCATCTTGGGCAAAGGACGTTGGTCTTTCTGATATCGTCTTTGGATCCCTGAGGATCCATGGCTTCTTGCATCATCTTCGTGGATCGTGGATTGAAGAGCTTGCATGATTGCCACACGGTGAAGAAGGCCTTTCGGGAGCGGGTGGACCACTTGGCGAACGTGAAGATGCCACCAAGCCGCTGGGACGTGAGGTAGAGGATCCAAGTCACTGTTGAGGGAAACCATGCCTTTCTGATTTGTTTGGAGCTATCCTGGCCCATCTTGTTGGCGATGTTGCTGTGTAGCCCGGAAACTTGTCCATTCTTTATACTAACATATATAATTACTCTCTCTCTCTCTAATTAGGTATAGAATATATATAATATATATATTTACATAAGTAGTTAGATAAAGTAAACAATGCAAAAAAAACTACTATGGGAGTTCAAGACCTGTCCAAATATCAGGCTTTCTGATCTTCGCTGCAGAAAATTCAGATTCAGATCCATTTCCTGACACCGACGTGCCACTCGAACTGAAAGACCACAAGCCAGACATGTTCAACGCATCCCGTTCCGGGCCATCTCGTTTCTTCTGGCACGTGGAGTTCACTGGATGGTTCTGGTGGGACGTCGCTTTCAGAAAACTAGCGGAGGCGTGGCAATGCTTTTACATGCCTGAATGTATGCTGCATGCTCATTGCTGGTATTCATGCCAGGGTAGTTACTTTGGTGGTGACGGTGCCCCATAAATGTACCTAATTAGAGAAGCTTGAGCCAAATCTTCCCAAAGGAGCTCCTTCTTCGAAGGCGCCTTTCAAACAACACTTTCAAAACTCCACTACAGCAATGTTGCATTTGGCCAGGGCATACATGTATAGATACCTGTCCTGTTCATATTGCTGACTCTTATCAGGTGTGTCTTTTGTTGTAATGCGAGTGTCTTCCGAAGAGTCGCTGTTCGCAGGCTGGGCAAGTGAAATCCTTCCGAGCAGCTGGCCGAGAAGTCGCGCCTCAACAAACGCTCGAAGCCAAGGACTTGCAGAAACTGTTCGCCGACCGCAACAAGCTGACGCCGGGCAATGAGCTCACCCTCCGTGCCTTGTTGTGAGCAGTTCTGCGCGTCTATGGCTGCTAAGATATCTTGTACAAGCTTATACGGAAAAGTTTGTCTTGGGAAGTATAATACTCCAATTCAGGTGAATCTAGAGAAGCTTGGAATATCAGCACACCCTTTGGACCAACCGGAAACGGCGCAGCAGCCCTCTTTGTGAGATTTGCTTGCAGCCTCGCGATCGGGAAAACGTGCAAGCACGGAGAGTTCTTTGGCTCATGACTCTCACCTGAGAGACTGCGATCTCGTGACTGGGCCGAGGTGATCTTCTTCAACTCGCCGACATGACCAGGCACTACAGTGACAACAAGGCCAAGGACCGTCAGAATATCTACCCTGGGAGGAGATCCGATTGGGATCATCCAGATCTTTATCGGGGTTTGAGAGCTGTTTCTCGCATGCAAGAAGGTGATCCTTGGGCAAAAGAGTGTGAGCTGCTGGATTCTACGAGACACTTCTTCTTCCTCTTCCTTGGCACGTTTTCCTCTTCTGACCTGGTCTGGAGATACCAACACCCAACGAAGTTAGAGACGCAAGGAATTCGTCTCTCTGTCACTTCCGTTTCAAGTCCAGGCTGTTCTGTCTTCCCAAAAAGTCCACTTGCCTAGCCAGGGTCGGAGTGTTCCAGGTTCTGGTTGTGAGGTAGACCGCAGCTCAAGGAATACTGTTTGTCCTGAAACGGTGCGCGTTGCAGTTTGGCACCAAACTGGCTGAGGTCTTGGTGCAAGGCCTTGAAGACACCAATCAGTTTGAGACCCAGCAGCTTGATGTTGATGGGCTTGGTACTGAGCAGCTTGGCACTGAGCAAGGTACTGTTACGCAGCTTTATGCCAAGCAGCTCATGGAGAAGAAGTTGAAAGACTTGAATGAGAACTTGCAGCCCGATGAGAGACCTTGGCAGAAGGACGGAGGGAGAACTTTCTTGAAGTTATACACAGGGTTCAGGGTTTGGTGTGAGTTTCAGAAGCCATACATCAAAGTATGGACTGTGGGTTAGTTTCTAAGAAACTTCTTGGTTGGATGCTTTTTGGTCCTTGATTTTGGGTGCTGTTCAGCGCAGGAAGATGTCCAAGAATGGTACAACCGTTTAAGAGGATAGAACGCAGACATGCACAGACAACAGATGCAGTAACCGACAGCAGATGCACGATCCACATGTTTTTCTTCCCTGATTATTTGCCATGATGATGCACTCGTGATAAGGATACCCAGCGTCTGGGAAAGCGCTTGCACCTGATACCCAGCATCTGACACCATTATCACATGATACCCAGCGCTTGCACCCTGATTATTTGCCGCTTTCACGTCAGGACAAGGACACCCAGCGTCTGCCCCAAAAGATCGAAGAGGCCATGGAAAGCTTGAGATGGTGCAAACCTACTGGCCGTGCAGCTTTGATTGAAGGCCCGCACATGTCCGGCAAGACCGTGCTGGTGAAGAAGTGGTCTGAGAGGACGAAGACCAAGGTCATTCAAGCCGTCTTGCATCCCTACACCACCGAGCAGGACTTGTTCGGTCACATGCTTCCCAACGAATCGGCTCAAAAGAGTCAAAAGGCCGGAGACGCGTTGGCCGGAAACGCCTTCGTATGGAGCGATGGTCCAGTGCGCCAAGCCGCGCGTGAGGGATGTCTCCTGCACCTGAAGGGCGTGCATTTGCCGTCGCCCGGCGTTCTGGAATCCCTCAACAGCATCCTTTGTGCCAAGCCAGGAGAGGGGTCGGTGAGAATCTTTCTTACAGAGTCATGGAAATCATCACAAGCGAGTTGGAAGGGTGTTTCATTTCTTCATTATTCATTTGAAAATACAATTCAGAACGCATGGGAAATCATTTCTTCACGATGCTTTCACTGGGCAATCTTCACCCAAGAATTACATGTGCTGCACCTGCCACACTCGGCGGATGCAGGAGGCTCAAAGTGGTTAGAGCCAATCACATGCTCCCCAGCAGCTAAGTAAGATGAGATTACAAGACAATGCTAAAATGAAGGCATGCCCCCCAACCTGCCATACATTCTCACCGTTGACTGTTGACGCCGAGAATGTATGTTCGTAAAATCCGAACGGGCCACTGGCTGCAGATGCTTGCTGATACATTTGTTTGGAATTCGTGAGCAGCATGGGTGGAACTTGCATATTTCACGTCTTGTCGTTACCAGGCGATCAACTGAAGCTGGCTGGCCGACCATGCGAAGTGCGTGAGGGCTTCTGTGTGATCGCCACGATGACCAAGATGGACCGCGGAGTATCTTGGCGCAAGGGCCTTCTGGCTGACGCGGGGAAAAAACCAAGCTCATTGAGCTTCCACTTGTTTCGTGATTGCACTCTTGACTGGACGGAGGGGGAAGAAAGAAAAGGGAATGATTTCTAGATTCTAGATGATTATGACATGTAGGAGGAGTAGAATGAACATTTGACATTTGCCTTTTGGGCTATGTTTGTGTGCAGATTGGTGATGTGGATCAAAGCTTGAGATGCATCACGTTAAACTTTGCGGTGATCACTCCGACTAAACCTTCAATCCAAATTTGTTTCAACTCTTTGTGACCTTGCCTTGTTTGTGACTTCAGTGGATTGCACCCCCCTCATCTCGTCTTTCCCAAGGAAGCGCGGCTGTCACCGGCATTTCTGAGCCGCTTCCTGCGAATCAGCGTCACACCAGAGTTGGGTCAAGATGACACACAGTTTATGCTCACGAAGTGGATTCCGACTCTTTGCCCGGCTCAAGCTACAGATGTCAAGCTTGAGATCCCAGAGAGGCAGGCAGAGTCAGATCTGCCAGTTCACTTTGGCTATTTGTCGCAAATGCTGGTCTTCTATCAGAGAATGGGTAAATGGTGGAAAGAATGGTGCAAACAACAACATGAAGATCCCAAGCACCAGTGCTTCGAATCGCGCATCAGTGGCTTCAAATCACGTGTCAGTGATGACAACAACTTTGCTAGAGAATCCTGGGATTTCTTAGTGGAGCTACCCGTCGGAAGCAGAATTCCGTTTTTTTTGAGATAACCTTCCATCTCTTCTAATGACACGCTCAGCTTACATGACATGCTGATCCCAGGTTGCAATCTCATCGAATGGGCACTTCAAAGAGCGACATTTTGTCCGACCAGTTCAAGACGCCCATTGATTTCTCACAGAACGTCTTGGATAGAACATACCGAAAGTTTGTGTCAAAGAGTCTCAGAAAGACAACAACGTTTTGCCTGCTTTGGTCGTCTCTACAAAAATAAATACTACATGATACTCAGAAAACTACGCAGAGGAACTGACCTTCCCAAAGTCCCCGGATGTGTAGAGTGTCCATGTTGGTTGGAGCAGCGCCACTTTAGACTGTAGACTCTATTCTGGCCGCTTCCATTGCAGAAAGAATTGGGTAGAGGCTCAAGATGCACCAAAAGACTGCTTTGTGCTGGCCACAGTGACACACTCAGCCAGGAAGACGAAGTGGGAGCAGATTTTTCACCTTCTGTCCACCGCAATCATCATGCGAATGCCAGTGATTCTACAAGGCAAGCCATCAACAGGAAAGACCCTGGGCCTAGAAACGCTGCTGGAGGCACTCGCACACACCGAGAATTCGCTGGAGGCGCCCGGGAAAGGCACCAGCGATTCTGAGTCTGAGGCTGCCGACGCTGAGACTGATTCTCATGTAAGGCAGACAGATTCGCTTGGATTTGAGGAGCCTCAGAAACTGGCGCCGAAGCATCGGGTCGTTCTTCTTCCATGTTTCTCAGAGCCACAAGAACCAAGTTGTGTTTTCAAAATGATAGTTTCGAGGTTTTGATGATTTCCAAAAGTGCATCAGACCAAACCCCACCTTTCACGGTGCTTCATAAGGTTCTGCTTCTATGTCAGTGGAAGATTTCTTTGGCAACTTCATAATCAAGGGCGGCAGCAGCGGACATTGCATCTTTCAAGAGGGACCTTTGTGGCGAGCCGTGCGGGATGGAGGTGCTAGCGGGGCAGTGGGGTGTGGGGGATGTTTTGGTTTGGACATTGTTCATTTTTGGATGCGACACCGGCCTTTCAAACATTCAAGTGACATACCGCTAAGCGTGAAGACACGGTTGGCCAGCGCATCCACAGCGCTTACGCAACCGCCCCTCTTTCAGTCTTTCAGTGGAGTTGTTATCCATTCTTCGCTTGTGAGCCATGGAGTGGATTGATGAGTGGGATGTGGCTGATGACTTAGCCCTGAAAGCCTTGTGCTGTCAATAGATGCGAGAAGAGTGACGACAAAGGACACCAACTTTGTATAGAATGGAAGGCAACCCTCGTTTTCCTATGAGGATGCTATCATTGGTTGGCGTGACATCACAGAGCTAGAAGAAGAGAAGAGAGGACTTGCACTGAGAAGTAGAGATGGAGGTGGCAAAGGCATTATTGAACGAGGGGCACTGTGCAGTGCTTCAAGACAGCCTCGCGGCCTTACATCATGACAGGAGCAGCCAATGCCTCCCTTGAGAGGGTTCAGCTCAACAAACTCACTCCAGGTTCTACAGACCTTGTGTCATTGATGCTGGTTAACTGGGCCGACCTTTTGCAAGGTCATTGAAGCGTTTTAACATCTATGGATTCGATTGCTCATTGAGGACAACTCGTGCAACAGCACACTGAACGAGCTCCCAAAAGCGTTTACTGAGATCATCTGCACCACAAAGCCGTCAGTTGACCCCAATGATGAAACCCAGTGGTGCTGGAGATGGAGAGTAAATTCTGAAAGCCATGGCTACACTTCGCTCCAAAGGAGATTCCTAGAAAGGAGCCAGAAAAGCATGGACGATAGATGAATTATGGAGAAACCTCAGATTGTGGAAATAGCTCGAGCCAGCTTGGTATCCCAAAGGACAAGGAGGGGATAGATAAGGACCGGGTGCACCAGGTTCCAATAATGATACCAGTCCAGCTGGGTTCCTTGCAGCTGTCAGTGATCCTTTGCGCCCTGCGGCAAGTTTCCTTTGACACGTGATCACGCACGAGTCAACCACAGGGAATGCCAGTGGTGTGAAGGTGTGGCCTTCCCTTTCAAACGAAAACCGTTCCCGCATTCTTGAGGGTTATGTGCCCAATAATGGCTTTCTGTGCCTGATGGAGAAAAGGAGCCGCGTGTGTGACAGGTGCGCCAGTTGTAGTTGTGATGTCGCCAGCAAGGCTGGATGAAGTGAATCCGTTCTGGAGTGAGCGGAGACAGGTCGAGGCGGCGTTGGGGGCATGAGTGACCACTTTGCCCGATGACGCTTCTTGCCCTGGAACCAGGGCTCTGCCGCCTCTTGAAAGGAGTGGTGGGACTTGGCCCCTGGTCTGGAGCTTGTGGAGAGGGAGGGCGCGTTGAGCGGGTGAATGGTGATGAGACAGAATGCTATGTTGGCAGCAGAAGTTGAGGGAGTCAGGTAAGAAGTTCAGGTTCGAAATCGAAATCTGATGTTCTTCATGAATGGTGAGCAGAAGATTGCGGCGGGGTGTCGCCAAGAAGGACGGAGCATATGAAAACAAGCAGTCCACAGTGGCGCGTCATTGGAAAGGCTCGACATTGAACGTGTCCAACCTGTCTGGAGAAACTCCAGGGTGGAGCCTGTGAATTGAGAATGTTCAAAGTAGCTATAAATTAGAAATGTTGCGCGCCTTTTCCGCCATGTGGTGTTGTGAGAAACTTAGTTGGGCATGCGGCATGTGCGCGTCGAGATTGACCTCCGCCCGAAGCCTTCAAAAGATCAAGGTGTGAAAAAGAAAGCGCCTGAATCGCCGCTGCGCGTTCAAGCTACGTGTTTGTTGTCTGATGCCTGCGTTTGTGTCTTTTTGCCCGGAACAAGGAGTTGAACCTCTCAGCATGAATGTAGTAGCTCAGTCCGGCATTGGCGCCGCCTTAAGGGGGAGTGCAAAAAAATCGTTGGCGGAAAACGGCAAAACTTGGTCTTTTAAGCGTGGCCCAAAGTGGTTGAAGTCATTGGACGGAATCTTTTCTGCGCGCATGTTTCCGCATGCCGTTGCATTTGCTTCCGTTTCATGAGCAGGGTGTCCACGACGCCTGGCCTTAGAGAGATCAAAGAACAAACACACCGAAAGAGAGAGACAATGTGGGTAACGAGAAACATGCCTGGTTCTTTTTTTGCGAAGAAACCATTTTTGGCCGTTTGGCTGAACACCCCATCACGCAAACATGGGAGGAGTCCTGATTGCCGACGAACTGAACCTGGTCTCTCCTGAAGTCCTGATGGCCTTGCAAGAAGTCTTTGATATGGAGGAAGAGATCCAGAACCCAGTGACTCACCAATCGAGCATATTGGTGGTGAGAAACAAAGCCAAGCGGATCCAAACATCATGGCAATCCTTCAAAAAGTATTTACACCTTTGATTTTCCCGTGTTTTCTCAGTGTTGAGGGAGTCTGTCCCATAAGGCGAGGCTTCAGTTCTCAGCATGTTTCACGACACTGACATTTTTTATGCTGTTTTATGAACCCATTTGCTCATTCATTTTTGATCTTTGCTTTCAATGAGGTAAACAAGGCCAAAGCAAGGCCGGAGTGGGGCCAAGAGAAGTGCGAATCCAGGGGCCTTCTTTGGCATGGAAAGGTTCCAGTCCTTTTCTGAATCAGTTCATATGTCCGAGTCCGGGGTTTTGAGGTTGACCATTCAGCTGAAGATGAATTGATTTAGGCGAATGATACGTGTCAGGGTCTCCTGTTACGTTCTCATGAACTTTGATTTTTCGTGGTTTTGGGCCTTCTCCGCTTTCAAAGTGTCAGGCTGGATCCGATGTTTCACTTCTTCGCCACTCAGAACTCGGCGGCTTTGCTGGGACGAAATGTTTTGCCAACGCACATCACCATGCGGTCAATGATCATTGATGTGCCGGAGTATGAAAATCAGCAAGTGGAGTCAATCCTAAAGCGACTGGCAGCGAAAGAACACACCGCTTACCTGAAAAAACACGGGTTGCTTGGTCTTTGTTTCATTATCTCATGTTTGTCTTTGTTCGTGCTTGAACTGATTCTTTTGAAACCCTTGGGCCCGGCCCTATGTGACCAGGAATTGAGTGCACAGATAATGCGAAAACACTGAAATCTCAATTCTGCAGAACTTTGGTTTCTGTAAGGTTTGCCATCCCCATGCGGACCGTGACTCAACGCTTCCGCGAGAAAGTCGCCAGCCTCTGTGCTGAAGTCTTCAAGGCCAGCACGAAAGCCTGGACCTTGCGCGAGATGAGCCACATGGCAGGGAAGACAAGGGCAATGCCAGAAAAACTGCGATAGGTTCTTTGCGATTAAATAGTTACTTGCCATTCAGGATTCGATGTGCTGTTTACGATCTTCCCTCGAGGCGTTTTTTTGTTTGTTTTTGTTGATTTTGCACTTTTTCATCACCCGACCCTTCGTGACGGACAAGCTGTCTCTCTCTCTCTCTCGTAGCAGTAATTTGCAGGGGGTGTTGCTAACCGACGCGACCCGAAGAACAAAAGAACACGATGTGAGCCCACAGCCTGCTTGAGACTCGTGTAGGACTCATGCGTTTCACTCTTGTAGGATACTCTTGCTTGACACTCTTGTGATCTTGTGGAACACTTTCTTGAGACTTTTGTATGACTTGACAGTCTTGGACTCTGGGACACACTTGTGGGACGCGCTTGCTTGAAAGTCTTGTGGGATGCTTTTGCACTCCCTTAAAACACTTTTACAAGCTTGCCGGACACTCCAAAAAGTCAAGCGGAAAGTCTTCAAAGCAAGCTTTTCCTAGCGTTTTGCAGCTTTTCCCTCAAGGCAAGAAGTCTGCAAGAGGCACTTCATAAGACCCTTTGTCCAAAAGTCATGCGAGAAGTGTGCAAAAACCTCCAAAAGTGTGACCGAGAAGTGTCCAAAAACAGGTGTCTCGTCCAAGACTTCCAGTTGTCATAGCGCGCGCATTGCAGCCCTGCTGAGCAGTTTCGCAATCCAAGCACCTCGAAAGACAGTCCGCTGAGACG